GACATCAGGGGTTCAACAGTAATATTACGAAGCTACGAGAATACATTTTGTGCGCAAAAGAATAAAAAATAATGACTTTATTCAACAATTTGTCTCCTCCGCGTCACCCTAGCGCCATTTTGGAGAGTATCCACTGAACACAAACAACGTTGTTTGTGCTTTGATTTGAATGAAAACAACATATCCGTGTGGTGCGGCTGACACAGAACAAGATACGCTGTTTGCGTTCAGTGGATACTCTCCAAAATGGTGCTAGAGTGACGCGGAGGAGACAAATTGTTGAATAAAGTCGTTATTTTTTATTATTTTGCGCCCAAAAAGTATTCTCGTAGCTTCGTAATATTACGGTTGAACCCCTGATGTCACATGGATTATTTTACTGATATCCTTGCTACGTTTCTGGACGTTGATCATGGTAGTACCCTTGCTGTCTATGGGAGAGCTGTCAGAATGCATCAAAAATATCTTAATTTGTGTTCCGAAGATGAACGGAGGTCTTACGGGTTTGGAACGACATGAGGGCGAGTAATTAATGACATAATTTTCATTTTTGGGTGAACTAACCCTTTAAGGTGAATCTCTTACTTAATCTCTTCTATAGATTGAATAAAATCAGAATCATTTGCACTGCTATTGTACAATAAGAGGACCAAATGTGTATACAGACAATATTAAGAAAAAAAAGGTAGAGAGCTGATGATCTTGATTCTACCCATAGTCATCCTCTATTTGTTTGATAGCACAAGTTCTTCTCAGCTTTTCTTTCCTGAAAATGCCAAAAGTTGGTCAATTTTCTTGAAGCTCAAAAGAAAAGCTTCCCACACCTTTTGGCCAATGAATTTCTATGACTTTTCCATTTGCTTGCAAATATTTAATGTTAAATTTAATATTTAATATTGAATAAAATGAAATTTCATTAAATATTTTATATAAAAAATACATTGCATTACAAATTCAATTAAATTACATTTTTTTTAATGAATTTTTAATTATTACCATGGGAAACCTGAAAACAGGACATCTAATCACCAGTAACACAAATTTCAGTAAGGGCTTATGATTCATGTGCATGGAAAACATTATCAAGACAACACAAAACCCCCAAAAAAGAAATCATTAAAAAAAATGCATAAAAAAGAAACCCAACAAATGAATCATGGGTCTGAAAGGTAATACATTTAATCATGCTGGATTTTATTACAAGATTTTAAAACCAATGTCAATTTTTGCATGCATTTATGGCTTTTTCCATTGCAGTTGTACAGAAAACTCAGTTCATGCACCATTCGCATGACAGTGGACACAAGGAGCATGCTTTGAGTAATGTATGTTATTTAATACCACTGCATCTCGTGACACACAGGATACGCAATGAATTACAGAAAAAAAAGGCATGTGAGATGCTGGCATGGCACAAGGCATTTGGATTTGCTCAAGAAATTCCCC